AAGAATGGTACATTATGCTGTAGGAATGGCCTTTTATTAATTACTATACATTAGATACTACTGGTATGCCTCTCATTATTGAAGAGTTGTATAATGAACTGCCTTCCAAAGGCACATTCCCCCCTTTTCCTTTGTCTTTCTTACTTCTAAAATTCCTTTCTCCGTGTCGTTCCCTGCTCCAATATCCCCCGCCAGCTTTGGAACAAGTGACTATATATATTTAAAGCAAAAACAAAAGTCCGCTTTTGTCGGTTAAGTTTCTCTGAAGCCAAAAAGGCAGTCAATTAGGGTACAGTGAATATAAAAGGAAACTAATGCACCATATCAAAAGGCAATTCTTGTAATCACAGGTGTTCATAGGAACATTGTGACATTTTATGGGTAATACTTATTAGTTGGAAATACCTCAGGACTGCCATTAATTTGATTGCATGGTACACATAGGCAGGCATTTCTCACCGGAGATTTGAAATGGCATTTCACTACTGGTCTGGTGCGACACTTGCATTAATGAGGTTAGGAAAGAGCTCGAAGGATAAAGAGAGCTCTACGGCCAGCAGCAAATGGTTCGTGTGGACAAGAGGTTAGCCAAAGAAAAGTATTTTATGCTCTCCTTTTAGACACCACTAAAGTATCTTAAATGGGCTTTTAAAAATAAGAAATTCAAATGCAACAAACACATATGAAAGTCTGCATCGCAAGCGCGATTGGTGGGGACGAGGGATAGGGCTTTCTCTGTGGTGGCCCCTCGCCTCTGGAACTCTCTCCCCAAGGACATCAGGCAGGCCCCATCGCTAGCAATCCTTAGGAGGAGCTTAAAAACGTGGTTGTTCCAGTGTGCCTTTCCAGAATAAGGAAACTCCTAGCATTATGTCCCAACGCACTTGATCAGAGATCCAGGATATCTGCATGCCCATCCCCCTCCAAACACCCCACCTTGTCATGCCCAGTACTTTTAATTTTAATTATTACATTTGGCCCTGCCATTGATTTTAATTGTGTCATTGTGTGCTGTCAATGTTATTGCTTTGTTTTCTGAGTTATTTTGCTGTCTGTTGTTGCTGTTGTTTTCACTATTGTATTTGGGCTTGGCCTCTTGTAAGCTGCACCGAGTCCTTCAGGAGATGGTAGCGGGGTACAAATAAAGGATTATTATTATTATTATTATTATTATTATTAGTTGTGTCTGACTCTGGGAGGTGGTGCTCATCTCCATTTCTAAGCCAAAGAGCCACCATTGTGGGAAATGTAGTTTAACAGCAGGGCCTTTTGCAATCTCTACCATTGGGGGACTGGCCTTCACAAACGACAGTTACGATGACTTCCCTCCTTGCATTGCTGGTGGAAAGCATGAGATTTTAAAAATTCCCTTGCCTTTACCAAAGTTGCCTAATGGTTGTGAAAATTAAAATAATCTTGGGAGACATCCGAACATTATAGAATATTTCTGAAAAAATTGGTAAATGGTTCAAATTCGGATCCCCCCCCCCCACCTTTCCTGCTTGGTTCAAAACTGCATCGGATATCCACATTTGTAGTTATTTTCTAAATTTCTGTCATTTCTGAATGAACCTATCCAATGTATTGTCGAAGGCTTTCATGGCTGGAATCACTGGGTTGTTGTAGGTTTTCCGGGCTATATGACCATGTTCTAAAGCCATTTTCTTCTGATGTTTCGCCTGCCTGCATCTATGGCAAGCATCTTCAGAGGTAGTGAGGATGCTTGCCATAGATGCAGACAAAACGTCAGGAGAAAATGCCTCTAGAACATGGCCATAAAACCTACAACAACCCAGAACCTATCCAACCCTACTAATTTTCAAAGCGATCCTATCGGCTCCGTATCTAAAAAGAAAGGGAGTGTCAGGCCCTAATTCCTTTGCAAATCCCAAATTATAGCTAAGGCTGTGACACTGGAGCTACTTTTAACTGGATTCACATATAAGTCTTGCCCTGTTACAAGGTGGGCAACTGTGGTGGGTGTAGGAGCCAGTTTTCTAAGGTTTTCAGACAAGTGTATGACTTGTCTTTCTCTGAGAATGTGACTTATCCAAGATCACCTCACACCAGAAGCGACTTGCAGTTTCTCAAGTCGCTCCTGACACGACCAAAAAATCCAAAATCACCCCATGGGTTTCATGGCCAAATGGGGATTCAAACCCTCTGTCTTCAGAGTTGTAGTCTAATGCTCAAACTATTATTATTATTATTATTATTATTATTATCATCTTTATTTATACCCCGCTAACATCTCCCGAAGGACTCGGTGTGGCTTACAAGAGGCCAAGGCCCAACAAATCAATAAAACAACAGCATAACAAATACAACAATAAATATACTCATAAAGCAAAACAATAAACATTAAAACAATAGCAATAAACATTAGACAGTAATTTAAAACTACTACACCACGACGCATTTAAAACTACTACACCATGATGATTCATCATCACTATAAAAGGTCACGATAACTTAGGAGTCAACAAAACAAGGAGTCTGACCTAACAAATTCTCAGGAATCTCAGTTTAAAATCAATTTCTTAAAAAGTCCCTGGTATTCTCACATTCTGCCATGTCATTTGTCGTTTATGTCCATTCACCATAAAAATATCACTAACACACTGCCATTAAAGGCCACTTGCTGCCAGGCAATTCAGATATAAGAAAAAGATGCTTTGGGTTTCTTACAGGAGCCACAGTTTACAGCGCCTATCCGATCACAAATCTCAGGGCTATTAGGCAAGTCAGAAAGAACACAAAGGTGAAAATGAAAAATGTCACAAGGAAGGATAAAGAGGTGGATCATAAATTTGGCCAGGAACAGGGATGTTCTTGGCAGGAAGACCATTTGAGAGGAATTATGTGCAGTTGAAACTAGCAACAATCTACACATACCTCTAACCCTTCCTAGTAAATTCTATTATACTTATCAGGACTTGATGGGGGGACAGATTTGGAGAAATTCAGTAGCCAATCCTCTTTTGAAGCAGGGAAGTTTCAAAAGGATCTGCAGTACTACATTCATGTATTTGATTATCTGTTTGTTTTATGTCTCACTTTTATCCCAAATCCGGATGTTCTACTGTTTGAAGAAAAGGAAGGGAGCTGAGATATCCCCCCCCCCCCCCGGGCAGGGAATGACCAAGCTTTTAGCCCTGTCTAAAGCCACTTTTTGGATCTAGTCAATATCTTTATCAGATCTTTCAGTATAAAAGTCAGGAGGTTATCAAAGTACTAGGGCTGATTTCTAATAAAAGCTATGGGACTTCTCCCACTGGAATCTTATGAGAAGATGTCAGGCTACCACCTGATATGGCTTTAAAAATGGATTAGATGGGTCTGTGGCTGAAGATATGTCTGGTGGTGGCTATTACTCATGATGTCTTTGTGGAGATAGTAGTTTCTGATAGTAGAAAAAACAATAGTGTTGTAGCCTGGTCAGGTTCTGAGTGCCCAGAAGATGAGGAACGAGATGTTGGGATAGATTTGGAGGGCCCAGAGGAGGATAAAAGTGGCCTGGAGAGAGTTATTTTGGAATCTCCTGGCAGTTCCTATGAGACTGGAGAAAGCGATATCAGTTCCCACGAGAATCTGCCAGAAGTACAGGCTGAGAGAAACGTGGGAGATTAATGTTTGTCCAGATCAAGGTGCTTGGAATTTCGGAGGTAGAGTGTTCAACAGAGACAGACTCACTTTTCCCAGTGGCTTAGAGATAAGAACAGGAAAAGCAGGTGTGTGAGGGATTATGTCATGAAAAGGATTGAAACCTTTTAAGTGGTTTTCTGCCAGTACAATCCTTGTGAGAGCACCATTGTATTCAGGTGAACAGCTCTCAGTTTCTAGGACCTACGTTTGTGTATTCAGGTTTCCAAGTTTGTTCCTGTTTCTAGTTTCATGTGTGGTATAGGTTGTCTGCCTTGGATTCCTAATATCATGTTTATGGATATATCTGCAGATTGACTCTTGAGAATATATTTGAAAGGATTTTGGAATCTTGGCTATCTTGGGAATAATTGTTTGAACTTGGATTCTCCTTTTTAGATTTGCTTATTTTTATATACTCTTCTCTTAATAGTTTTTTACTTACTGGATTTACCTGGACAGAGTGTAGTTTGTACTCAAAAGGCATTTCAGGGCTCTAGTGCAACAGATAGGCTTCCTATTTGCATTGTTGACTTTGGCCATGCTGGTCAGCATGGATCTCCCCTTACACACTGCAGGGTCCTCCTTATCCTTTCAATAGTGCATGCTAAGTATCATAGAATCATAGAGTTGGAAGAGACTGCCAACTCTATGTTCAGTCCAACCTCACTCTGCTATGCAGGAGAATAAAATCAAAAGCACACCTGACAGATGGCTAGCTTCTGTTTAAAATCCTCCAGAGAAGAAATTCCACCAACATTAGTTCTTCCTAATGTTTTTCAGTAATCTGAATCCATTACGCTATGCCCTAGTCTCTGGACCAACAGAAAGCAAGCTGGCTCCACCATCAATATGACATTATTCCAAATATTTAAACATAGCTATCGTGTCCCTTCGTAACATTCTCTTATCCCGGCTAAACATATCCAGCTCCCTAGGATGATCCTCATAGGGATTCATGATTTCCAACCCTTTGGTCACCCTTCTTTGGACATGTTCCTTCATGAATTCTGGTGCCCAGAACTGGATACAGTACTCCAGGTGAGGTCTGCCCAAAGCAGAATAGACTGGCGCTATGACACCTCTTGATCTTGGTATATACTTCTATTGATGTAGTCCAGAATTCATTGGAAGTATTGGCTTTTTATTGTTGGATCAACGGTTGAACACAGAATATAATCCAGTGGAATGTTTAACAATTTGATTCAATAAAAGACCCAGGGTGTGCTTTTTAAAAAACACTTCCTCAGGCATTAAAACCACATGCTTGAATGAAATGGCTTGATGTCGTTCAAAGCCCTATGAAGACAGAGCGCAAGCGGCAGAAACAGATTGTCACCAAAGAAACCAGAACTCACCAGCCATTTGTTGAATGCCGCTGAAGGCACCCAAGTTGCTGGAGGAGGTCGCTTGCTGCAGAAGCTGCAAATTAACAACAATAACAACATTTAATGAGGTTAATAACGCAACAAGTTCAGATTAAAGCAAAATTATCTGAATCAAATTAAATTTGGGATACTTATAGTTTCCTTTACATTTATACAGTCTCTTGCTTCTGCCTGGTGTTGGAATGAAGGTCCCCAGAGTCGATGCTGTAAATCCATATTAATGTCTAATCTCTATTAAGAAACACACAGACACTGGGGAAACTCAATAACATTGCTGCTTTAAAACAATTAATCAATTTACTCTTTTTAACAGCCAGGTGTTAAATCTATTTCAGCCCAACATAGCGTGACTAATCATTGCCCTCTGCAGTCTAGCAGTTACCATAACTTATCTCTGTCAATCACAACCTAGTTTCCACCTTCCCACTTAAAAACAGAGGCTTTGCCCCCTCCCTTTGGCCTCACTCTCATTGTATGTTCAGATGAATACAAAACTCTGCATTCTCAGGGTGCCTTCTGGCAATGTTGAGCCAAAGGGCAGGAGGGGCCCTCGTGCTAAATCATGTCTGCAAGTTCTCAACCCCAAAACCATTCAGTTTCCACCCATAACTGCATTTATCCAGGGCCAACAAAGGAGCCACATGAGCTCACGCATGCCTGTTCATTACTTGAGGATTTACAGCACCAAACTGGTGATTTGATTTGCATGTGGGAATGGGCTATTGCAAATGGGAAGCATCATAGATCAATCGCATCAGTATTAAACCCATTACTTTTCAATAGAGGCAGTTCACATACTTAGTTGCCAGTTATTCACTAGGGATGTAATTTGCTATTTTTCTTCCTGGAGAAGGCAATTTTAGCCACTTTCTTCTTGCTATAGGATCAGCTTGGGAAATTGCACAGTTTTCAAAGAATATTCACTGCTGGGGACTTCTACTGTGAAAAATTTGTATGTATTTGTTTTGCTAGAAAGCCGCATTTTTCTGCACAGAAAAATGCAATTTTCTTTGCCAAATTTTGTTTGGAAAAAGTCATTCTGGGAAGATTCTCATGAGTTTTCCATCAGGGTTTCTTGACCCTTAGATAAACATGATTTTCAACCATTTTTCAAATATTTTTAAATATTATTCTCATCTCTATTATCTATTTTTGCAATCATCAAATGATGTTTTGGCATGTTTGAGTCAAGCTTAGATCATGCAAACATACAGATATACCATCAGACATCCACACCATCAGTTTCCTACCATGCATTCAATACTGTTTGGTCATTTTTTTACTTATAGTTAACAGTCTACTGTTCCTTACAAATATCTGCCTAGTGCACTGCATCATATGAAAAGGATACAGACTGAGGATGAAGCATAGGATCAATGTATTGCAATAGCAAAACATATTTTTTCATCTACTTGACTCCTAAAGCAATGCAAAGTGGATCCTCCACAATAATGTTTCTGAAACTCTGATCTTCCAGGTGTTTTGGACTTCAGCTCCCAGCTCATTAGCCAAGGCACGGAGCCTCTGGGAGTTGAAGTCCAAATCATCTGGAGGGCTGGTATCACTGCCCTACAGAGAAAGAACTAAAATGTCTCACTTCCTTTCTACTGTAGCTACTGTATCTTGAAATAATAAGGGAACATCTGGCACAATCAGAACTTGAAGGAAAAGTGAAGCAGTTGTAACTCTAGTATAAGTTATGATTTCAAAGTTCTGATTCTGTTTCATATGCTATTATACTTGTAGAGAACACATTGAAAAATCAACATGTTTAATGGACAAACGAGTAATCATGTAGCTGTTTCTTTTGTTCCTATATAGCAATAAGACTGAAAATGTGAATATATGTCATTTTAAATATCTATTCTACTGCATTTTTAAAGAATGTACCTGAAATATCTTATATGTTCATCTAAGGCTGTTAGCTGTGAATTTTATATCAACTACTTAGTTAAGTATACGGTTGGTCCTGCACATACGCTGGAACTAGAGGTGCAAGACCTCAACTGAAGTAGAAAAATCACAAATAGATTTTTTTAACTGAGGAGAGCACCTCTCTAGGTATTTCCAAGTCTTTCATTCAACTCTATGGTCAATTTGTCAGGACCTGATTTTGGCTGTTCAGAAAGTCACCATAAATCCTCTCCATGACATCTCAAGGTCTGCAGGGAGCGTCAGTGGAATGATTTGAGAGCACCTGAATTGACTGGTTTTCACATAGGAAAAGACTGATAAGGATTTTGGAGGCAGGCGTGAGGTTGGGAGGAAAGGAGGGATGCTGGCCAAAATCGCCATTAGCGTTTTTTTTCTTGAGCTGTAGCAATCTGAGTAATTAAGCCAAATTCAAAAGACATTTGTGAGTGGCCTAAATGGCTAGCTAGATCCTTCAGAGAGTGACACAATTTCTATGAGGCATTGACCATACAGATGTGTTGAAGGACCTGGAGAGACCTATTAACCAAATCCACTAATAATCCTATCCACAAAAGGTACACCCACAAATATAAAGGACTAACAGAACTTAAGAATGGACCATCTTCTGTCCTAAGCAATTGATGTCCAGTACAGTAGGTTGTGCAGGGAAGAGTTACAATCATGGCTAGAGTGCTCATGAATATGAAAGAGTTACCTAGATGTATTCATCTATAACAATTCCATATATATGATTACTAATTAGTCACAGTTTTGATACTATTTCCACAATTGTAACTCCAGCATACTTTACTGGATATCAGCTACATGGTGAGAAGAGGTCCATTTTGCTAGTGGCCAGTGTATGAGGGAATTATGCTTCCACTACATTTGGGAGGATCAAAATAGGACAGGTTGCTTGACTAAGTACATATTACTTTTAACAGGGGTGTTGCTGCAGAGCTGGCTAAGATAAATCCAGTTGTTATTCCCATAGATACTTGCAAAGCATAAAAAGCTACTTTTAAAAATACCTGAAAAGAATTGGGTCCCTCAAAAACAAATTTATCAAGTATTGCACTTTGTGCACATGCAAACACCTCACGACAAAAACCGATCAGTCATTCAGATGTTAACTGATAAAAAGACATGTTACCTCTGGATGCAGAAATGCGATGATATACATTTTGACAGAGCATGGCTAGTTTGCTTGCATTTCACTTTGGTCCTCGACTTTTTGTTCAATCTTACTGTTATTAAGAAGTACCCTTAACTCACTGTGGAAATTTGCATGGCATTTTAATGAAAGACATGTTTCCTGCTAAGCTTAACGCATATTCTTTTAAGATAAGTATCATACATTTCCTCTGAAAGTGCTTGTAATCAAATCTGATGAATACTTACAGCCAGGTACTGTGGCGTAAGTCCTCCAAGACCTGTAAGATTCCCCCAGGTGGCAGTGTTGAGCTGTTGCATTTGTTGTGCCAACTGCTGTTGTAAACGTCTCTGCTCCTTGTCCTTTTGGGTATCAGCAAACTTCACGACTATTGGTGAAGAACAACCCTGCGATTGGACAGATTGGTGGGGGAAAAATCATTCTAGCACACCTTTACATGAGTCTTGTCCACCCCTGAGGATTTCCCAGCATCACAACCACCAGAATTTTTTTTTTTTTGCAATTGATCATATGACTCATGTAAAGGTGTTCACGGATTGGGGTATTTCTGCAGCTCAGCAAATGAAATTATTTCTCATCTTTTGTGATTACTCCACCCTAGCCTGCCAACAAATATTCAATAGGATAGAAACTGCTTATAAAATATCATTAGTGTTTCCTTGATTTTTTTTTATTTTAAGGACAATCCTGTGAAAGAGAGAAGGAATGAATAAAAGAAAGAAAGAAAAAAGGCAAAAGAAAGAAAACAAAAGCAGCAGAATAGTATCTCTTTTACATTAATAGACTCAATGCATTTTAAAGGAATAAAAGTTGCCTGAACTCACAAAAAAGAGGACTCCTGTTAGCTATAGCCTGGATCAAGATTTAGGCAAGTATATTGTATCAGCTACTTAGGACCGCTTCAAAGGAAAGATGCATGGGGTGGCTCATAGCACCTCATGCACCCTCCCTCTTTCTCCCATCATATGGTGGGGACAAGACAGAGTGTGTTGACACCCCACCTCCATCAGATAGGAGAAAGGGTGGCAACATGTATTGCCCCATCACCCTTCCGCCCATCATACAGGGAAAAGGGGAAGAAAGTGCAGGTAGCTCCATTGGAGCTACCCAAAATATACTTTCCTTCCCTTGGTGGTGGAGGAAGCGCTTTCTGGTGCTTCCTCTCCACTTTAGAAGGAATGTGGCTGGGGCCTACCAAGTGTCATCTGATGATGCTTGGTAGTCCCCATCCAGGTCCGGCCAAAAGTGACAAAGTGAGGCTGTTTTAGCTCCGTGTGAAGAGGTCCTCAGTTTACACACATAGGGCAATTTAGTCTCATGTCAATGTGCCCTGGATCACTGCCACTCCTGGTTAACCACAGAGCTCTGTGTGAATTTATGGGCACTTTAGGTGGCCCCGTCAACATCAGAATGGGGTTCCCATGAGGCTAGCATGAAAGAGAACATGATCTTTGTCATGCAGGTGCCCTGTTTTGATATCAACAGAGGCACTCATGTGACAAGGAAGAAGGAGGGAGTTCACATCATCATGTGAGGTCCTCTATCGATGTCAGATGTTGAGGGGTACCTTGATGGTCAGAAGCTTGCATAAAACTCTATTGCCAGGTGGGAGCCATAGTGGCAGTACATAGACATAATGCATCCCCTTTCACTGAGCCGATGAGCAGAGATAGGATGATGACACCAGTGTCCTATCTGGACAGTTTATTTGGCCAAATTGGACCCTGCCTAGCTACCCAGCCTGTCATGAACCTGTGGGAAAACTGTTCTCAAAACTGTGGAGGATCTCTAAAGTTTTCCTGAAATGAAAAATTCTAGAATACTCATCTGAAGTAGATGTATGTCATGAAGATAGACAGTCCTCTGGGATAAACTGAGTTTATCCCAGACGACTGTCTATCTTCATGACATGCATCTACTTCAGTTTAGTACACCTAAATAAGTAACCTCTCTTGGTCCAACCACCCACAACAAAATGTCATTCTCCATGTTCTGATTGCCATCAAAATATAGACTTCCTTCTCCCCATACACCTGACTCCCGCTAAAGCCAATTGGAGGTGGCAGTTATGGTCATATCGATAATATCGTAATTGGGCCTAAGTAGAAATTATTAATATAGAATAGTTGGTACCTAGATTTACTCATCCGTAACTGTGTGTTTCACAGTATCTGTTTAGTCATGTTGTGGCACTATTACACATACCCAAGCATTCTTCCTGGAGCGTTTGTCTTACTGAACCTACTTTTATATTGGGGACTGAGCAACTGTGTATACACTTTTAATAGGATTAAAGATTCTGATAGTAGATAGTAGAGAATTGTTGTGAAATGACAAGATACATTTTAAGTGATGGTGCAGGACTATGCTTTGACAATGCAAGCAGTGCACCCACATCTCAAGTATGACTGGTGGGAACGAGAAAGAGGGTCTTCTCCATGGTTGCCCCCACCACTGGAACTCCTTCCCTAAAGAAATAAAGCTGCCCCCTCCTCTCCTCTCCTCTCCTTCTGAAAACCTACTTATATTCACTAGTATATGGAGAGGAAGAGGATTAAATAAGGAGAAAATACTACCGGGCCTTGGTTGAGAACTATTTCATATCTGGACTCTCCTAGTCCATGCCAGCCCAATGATCATCGTTTGACTACACAACCAACACACAGTTTTGTGAACTCTAGTTGGCTGTTCTAAATTAATGTGAATTTTTGTTTAGATTTCTTATATGTTATTATATAATTTTGTTGGACTAAATGTACTTTGATTTACTGAGTTTAGGTTTAATTTATTGTTGTTAGGTTTTAATGTGATGTTAGGTTTTAATGCTATTTTCATGTGCGGGGTTTCTCTGTGATTTTATGTCCATATTTGTTTGTTTTACGAAGGCATTGAATCTTTGCTGGTGTTATATTGGAATTCACCCTGAGTCCCCTCAGGAAGTTAGGGCGGAAAATAAAGTTTATTATTATTATTATTATTATTATTATTATTATTATTATTATTATTATACCGGTCAACGCCGGCTCTTTGACTTAGAAATGGAGATGAGCACCAAGCCCTAGAGTTGGACACGGCTGGACTTAATGTCGGGGGAAAATCTTTACTTAACCTATGGTTGTTGTTGTTGTTGTTGATGATGTTGTTATAGGCATTATAAATGCATTTACTTAGCATTCAAATAATTAAGACTGGTACTATATCTGTTAAAAGGAATGTATATTTTATGGACACAGTGGGTCGGTCTATCTATCTATCTATCTATCTATCTATCTATCTATCTATTTATCTATCTATCTATCATCTATTGCTGTTGAGTGCCTTCAACATGTTTTCAACTTATGGTGACCCAAAAGGGTTCCTTGATGCAAGATTTGTTCATAGAAGGCTTTTCTTTGCCTTTCTCTGAATATGAGAAAGTGTGACTTGCCCAAGGTCACTCAGTGGGTTTCCATGGCTGAGTGGGGATTTGAACTCTGTTCCCCAGAGTTGTAGTCCACACGCAAACCGCTAATACAACACTGGCTCTCATATCTAAAGCAGCAGAAATAAATGTCAAGGACAAGGCTGTGAGATAACAGATCCAGCCTTGCAAATCTGAGCTCCACATGGCAGCCAATATTGTATTTATGAATGCTTAACTGGCAGTAAATTGTATAAAACAATATTGCAGCATTTTATGAATCTATAATTCTCTTCCCTCCCCTTACCCCCCATCTGCTTCATATTTCATCAGGGCAGCAATTTCAAGAGAACAAACATCACAAAGATTGAAATCATACATATCAAAGTGGCTTCGTATCCGAAAAGGTCTGTTATTGTCGCAACTAATTTGTTCCACAGGAAAAAAAAAAAGAAAATTAGTGTCTCGGTTTGACACAGTTGCTTGAGCTTAACCTCGAATATATGAGATAGGTTAAAATGTGATGGTGAGCACAGGTCTCAAAAACATGTGGGTAGAAAGCATATGAGCGGAAAACAGCTATCTAAGAAGCCATTAATTTTAGGAGATATTTATTCTTCTGGACACTTCCTTTCTCATCTTTTTAGATTTTGTGCTCGCCTTGGAAAAAAATATATGTCATTCTGGTAAGTGCTGAAGGAGTGAAAATAATGAAATCAAGGACAGAAAGTAACGTCACTGTTTCCGCTGAAGCCTGATTGCATAATATATAATCTTCCATTTGCAAAGAAATTTTCTTTGCATTAAACATGAAATCAGAGTGCCCAGGGGCATTATAGTTTCTGGTTGAGTGTCCAGATTTAATATTAGCTGTTGAAAGTCAACTCTTTACCATAATAGCATTGACATTAATAACCATGGAGAAGGAAACATGAGAGTATATTGACCTAAACCAATATACTCTTTCTTTTCTCTCCCTATCCCAATTTGCTATCTTAAGAGGAGCAGGCATTCTCCTCTCTCATAATTCTATGTTTTTCAGCTGTCTCGGTTTCGTTAATTCTTTCACTCTGTGAAATCCAGCCTTTGTATTTTTTCTTTCCAGCAGCACACCAAAGCCACTTCTGCGGGTCATTTCTGGAGAGAATGGTGTACTCTCAGAACACAACCATGTCTGAAGGTAGGTGGGGAAGCAACATTAGCATGATGACAGAATGGAAGACCATTTGAAAAAAGGAGGTTCATAAAAAAACAATACAGTCGGTCCTCCATATTTGCAAGTTTCCTTTTACTAATTTGGTTATTTGTGGATTTTATTAATACATTTTCTCTAGAAATCTCCCATTAGAAGGTGGTCATAGAGTTGAACTGCAGAACCAAGAAACTGATAGGCAACATTTCTCTAGTCATTTGTAGGTCTTCCTATGGTCAGCTTTCCCATAGAATCACATAGGAAGATATAGATTCCTAAAGTCAAAAATAAGCATTTATTTATTCACATTTTTTCTCTTTTGTGGGAGTCGTTTACCCTAAGGCTATCTACAACTTCCTAAGCAGCTTGTATCTTACAACATTACCAATTCAGTACATATCTTTGTTACATTTGACAGTGCCAAGTTTCATAATTTCATCAATGTCAGTTAAGAACTCTTGTAGGTATATTCAAATTCAAGTGCAAGTAATTTCTCAGAAGGCTGTTTCCCTCAAACTGGTCTTCTGATATACATGGAAGTGGAGAATGTCATCAATACTAATGCTGACATTGTGAACAATCCAGGTGTAGGTGACAGTACAGATTAACCACTATCTATGTGACAAAATCATTTCTGATATCTTAAAGAGAAATAGCAATAAGAATGTTCCAATGTTTTACTTTGGCCAGGCTTCTTTGAATTTACCCCAAAAACTCACACTAATCTTTGGGTGCTTTAAAGATAGAACCATACAAAGATTGCCCGTCTAGAAAATTCATCTCTTTGGATCAAGCAACCTTCAGATGTAAAGAGAAGCAGCTCCTTGATTTGAAGATAGTTATACATTTGATGGAAAAACATTAAAACAGGGAGAATCAAAGTATCATGGAATCGTAGGGCCGCCTCTCCATCTCTGTGAACATGAAGGCCACCAAGAGTGTGAGTGGCTGCATTGCCAAATTGCTCATATGTTTGATGTTTTTGGCATAATTGCTCACTGTTCTTGAATTGCAACCTACCTTCTTACAACTTAAGCCCTGCATATGGCTGACTGGCTTTGGTTACTTGCAACAAAGCTTGTGAATTAGGTCAATGGTTCCCACACTTTGGTTCTCCGAGTTTTTGGATGACAGCTCCCAGAATCACTGACCATTGGATGAGGTGGCTAGGGCTTCAGGGAGTTGAAGTCCAAAACAACTGGAGGACCAAAATCCTGGAATCACCGAACCAATCCATAATGATGTTCGCTTTACCACTTTGGCTCAAACTTCAAGGGGCAGGAGCAATCCTAAACCTCGCTACATAATGCATTCTGAATTTTAGCAAAGATAGAACCATCAGAAGATTCTAAAATAGCTATCCTACCTCTGAAGTCCTAATATGGTATGGAAATAAAAAAAAATGTAATCCCTTCCCCTTTTATCTTGAGTCATCAAATACACTTCCAATATTATAAAAGGGAGCCACAGAGAAAAAGAGCAGAATAGTGTGTGAATAGAGAGACATATTTCTATTTCAATGTTCATTAAATGGTGAACGTAATTTTGATTCCTTTCTCTGGTCCACTTTGAACCACATCTAACAATGTATATTCTCAATGCCTAAAAATGGATAGCACTGAAAAGAAAAACACATTGATTATAAAATATCAAAATAATCTCAACTAAAGGTAGGAAAGATTGGAGAGACAATAGACTTTCCAATGCCAATATCAATATTTCTGGATAATACAGGAGATGGTGACATTTTCATGCACTTAAAAAAAATCTTTGCTCATTACACAAAGCAGTTCAATGACAAAGACACAATAATGTTGGGTTTTATTTGATTTTTAGTACCCAGCATGCTTTGGGAGATTAGAGCATCGCAAAAGGCGAAAACAATATTATTCCAGAAAGTGGAACGATCCTCATTTCAAAAGAAAATAAAATACAGGAAAAAGAATTAGAAGCAAGAAACGAGTGCACATTGCATCAAAATGCTGCTTCAGAAGGAATAACCAATACACAGATACGATATACATAATACAATATAACATGCACTCTCAAATTATTAAACCAGAAGATCCAGATTAAGACATAGTTGACTTGTGAGGCTTTTTTGTGCAAAATTCTGAAAGACCATGACAAAAATCACAGAATGGGGGATAAAAAAAATCACTCTTATTTACATAAGTAAATTTAAATGTTTGGGTTAATTCACAATTGCAAGCCCAAGATGAAATCGAATTTCACTCTCTCCCAGACAGACAAGCATAATTAAAAATTTTTTATGGGTAGTTTGGAATAATCGATGCTGCTTTGCAGGTTAGGAAAAAAAAATGAAGACCATCTGCCTTTCTCCGTGTGGCTTGTCCACTTTGAATTTATGAATGGTAGCCTGCAGAGCTCAGATTGTTTCAGCAACATTAAAAAAAAAGGAGGAGGGGGAGACAATTCAACATGCCAAATGTACATTTCACCAGACAGCAAGGTGGCATTTCAATGGACTACGTCTTTCATTTTCTGCTGAATGCCACCATATTATGAAATAAAAACAGAGAGATCATCCTGTGTTCTCAGACAATTAAGGGAAGTAAATGTCACAGAGATGGAGAAACAAAAAAGAGTGAGAGAGAGAGAGCGAGAAAGGAAAAAAGGAAGAAAAGAGAGAGAGTGTGTGGGTTGGGAATGTGAAGAAGTTTAAATCTGTGATTGTCATGCATCTGATCTTCTCCAGGAGAGCATGGCTTTACATTCTCAATCATTTGCACAAAGAAAACACAAAGAAAGGGCAGATGATACAGTACTGTACCTCCATGGTCTGAGACTGGTGCATGGCTTTGATTGCATTCTGTGCCATTGCCCTTGTCGAAAACGTGACAAACGCACAGCCTGTGGGAACAAGGGGACAGGGAGCAGGAAAGACAAAAAAACAACAAGACAAAAGGGTTGGACGCTTGTTAAACCAACACAGTCTACGAGAACGGCCACAAGACGACACTGTTCTCCGTAGTACATAAAATCAAAAAAGGAAAACAAAACCAAAAAAAGTAAAAAACCAAAGTAACCCACTTCCCTAATTTTAGCTGGCTCAGCAGAAGCTGCTTTTGCTAATCGGACCACGGATTGTGGGTGAGAAGGGAAGAGAGAGAAAGGGAAGAAAGGATAAAAAACTGAGCTTGGATTGATGAGGGATTAAAAAAAGAATACACTACAGTTAGCATATACCTCCCATTCTTCTAAACCAATGGGCTTGAAAACTCTTTGAGATTTGTCTTCCAATCCCTCTGTCCTTGCTAACTGCTTCTTTCTTTTGATGTTCAGGTATTTTAAGGATATTTATAAAAAAATGACAGTAAAAAGCCCCCGACGTGCTTGCTTCATTACCTAATATGTGGGCTAATGTCTTAAGTTAAATCAAATTAAACCTCAGTCGATGGTGCAGCAAAATCTACAGAATAAGTAAATTGGGAAGTCAAGTGATAAAGAACAAAGGCCTGTGCAATAATCCATGGGAGTTGGACATAGACAACCCAGGGCTGCTGTTCGGTTAAGCAAAGCTCTACCAAGGTAGTGTTCATTTGGTATGACTGAAGCGTGGCTTTGGATGCTACTGAAGTAGGGCAACCAGAAAAATATAGAGCCATGGTTTTATATTTAGTTTCAGGCACTGCCTCTAATGTCAATATGAGAAGAAGTGCTCATTTCTCCTCCCACTGGTTAGGGATAGTGGGATGATAGTGAAGAATATGTTCAAATTGGATGGTGTTGGTTGCTGCATTTATTATGTCCTGAACTGTCTTTTCCAAAGAGGTGGTTCTGTGGGTCTGTTTTCTACTACCACTTTGACTATTGCTACTCATCTTGAAATATAATATTAATTTCAAATCATTTCCCCCCAAACTGTTGTGAGATTGATGATTCAGAATTGTGGCAAGAATCTAATCATGAATTTTCTGTTGGAACCTGTCCTTTCTATAAGAATTAGCCATTTCTCTTCCCTTCTTTAACCTTCTCCTTCCTTGTGAATCTTAAGAACTTGCTTCAAAAGCCTCAGTATTGCTGCCCAGAAGGTTTTTGGTGCCACCACCTTTTGGATCGACAGTCCTAAATGTACTGGTATTGGATACAGAAGTACCTCACCAGATATGGAAGAACACCATTGACTTAAGCAAGGATCTACACTTAAATAAATATATTGCAGTATCTGTGATCCAGGCATATCCCATGCTCATTGGTGCATATAAATCTATTATAAGTTAATAGTGAAATTGTGAAGGGACATATGACATAGAATTAGGGTTGTATGGTCAATGCAATTGGGAGGAATCTGGGACATTTGCATGACTTCCCAGAATTTCTCTGATATTCAAGAGGATTGATTTATTGGCTAACAATTTTAAGAAGTCATGCTATAGTTTGATAGCATAATGCTTAAGAACAGGATTGCCACATGTTTTGGGAAGAAGGCAACTGGAGTGAAGAGAATTGCTGCATGATATTTGAAAGATGTTGCTAGGGGATCGTCATATTTTCCCCCAGGCAGTGCCTTGGCAACAATGCTTTTGGAATTGAGACAAGGGACACAAGTTGTCCACCTCTGTCCTACCTCTCTGCCCACACTACCTTGGCTGTGGCTACCCACTCTGCCACCAACTTCATCAGTATACCACACTGTGATACTGTCAAAGATATCACGATGCTAACATCTCATGTGATGATTTCACAAAGACATGGAAACACACTTACATTGGTTTGCAAAGACAATTGGGTTAAATGACAGTGTTGTCGAATGAAGCTGAAGACAGCAAAAGCACAATGGTAGAAAGAAAAAAGTGTTGAGAACCAGCAGCCAAAGGAATGAGAAAGTGTCAAACCACATTGAGTCAGTTGGGGATACACATTAAACTCCCATGGGTTGAAAGCATACACGAGGGGTATACAACTGCTAGGATGGAAATAATATTGGCTGTTATTTATTTCCTGGGTGAAAAATGGCTACGTTGCTCACTTGACACTGAACTATGCTAGTGAATTGTGATGGCAGACAATAGGACACTGCATAAGATGTCCCATTGCAGAAGAGGGACGCCTGTTGCTCAACCAGGTTATCCATTGCACAGCAGGACATGTTTTACAATGGAACATGTATGTCAGGACACATTGTGAATCAACACACATTGTTTATCAGGACACTTTGTGCATTGGGACATGCTGTGTAATGACAATGCTGATGGCTGCATTTGTGCAATGGTCCTGATAGGATAGCTGTATCTCCACTCCACTCCTGAGAATACCAATGCTACATGTTGGGTGCTAGTGTTGTACTCCACATTAAATGACAGTGGACGCATGGAAGAAAAGCAATGCATTCTTGGTTTGGAATGGAAAAAGACAACAGCTAAATGGCCCAGAGCTTGCATGGAAGGAGGTGAAATTGCACTTTTTTGATCAGATGTTGATGAATAGTTAAGACTAGAGCTGCTATTTCCCCTTTTAATAGATTTTGAAAATATTCTGTAATAAAAGAGACCACAAGATACATCCAGTCCAACCTTCTGCCATCGAAGAATACTCACTCAAACCATTCATGACAGATGGCCATCCACCCTCTGTTTAAAACCTCCAAAGACTCCACCACATTCCAAGGAATCAATTCCACTTTTGAACAGCTCTTACCATGAGATTCTTCCTAATGTTTAGATGAAACATCTTTACCTGGAATTTGAATAAACTGCAGCAGAAAATAAACTGGCTCCATCTTCTATATTTTCAAATGTTTAAACTACATAACCTTCATTTCCGTAGGCTAAACATACTATCCACTAGTCATGGGCACTGTATTTGTCTCATTTGTTTCTTTCATGTTTTTGTTTCATTCAGTTCATTTGGATGGCATGAAACAGTATACCACCCCTCCTGTTCGGAAAAATTGGTGAAATGAAAAGTAAGTGGGAACAGTAACCATTTGGCCAGCTGATTTTCGGTGCTCAGTGCTCGGCTGTAGGCCATGGCATTTTGTTCACCTTCTCTGGACAAGTCCCAGCTTGTCAATATTCTTCCTGAATTGTGGTGCCTGAGATTGCTTTTCCAAGAATGCTTTGAAGGCTGTGAAGTGATGTTGGCTTACAATTTCACAGCAAACCTTATCTATCACAATTTAAAATGCAATCCCATAAATGTCTCTTAAGAAATAAATATCATTGAATTCAATGGGCCTCCACCCAAGTAAGTGGATGTGGAATTTTAGCCTTACCCCCATTTTGCTGGTGATTTCTAAATACATTAAAAGTGCATCTATTTTTTCCCTGACATTGTTTGAAATTAAGTTTTATATATTTTTTTAAAAAAACAGAAAATAGCAGCATGTTTCACTCAATTTGTCCCAGACATCATTATTATGATTGCTATGATTTTAAAAGGTTTCCAAATGGTGCAGATCTAAATACAGAAGCTGAACACATTGTCATTATAGAACGAAGGCATGAAACTTTGCAGCAAGCCCAGACTATTTTTCCTTAATGTTTCAATATCTTTGCCCCTGTGGTCAATGAGCACAACAACAACAAATACTTTTTCCAGCCAGATCGTTTGTTTTATGGAAATCATTGTGTGAATCTGAAAGACTACTTTGTTTTTATTTTCCCCAGTGCTTACCTGGTAAGAATATCAAGTCAGGAATGCATTAACATTTTAATTGCATGAGAGAAGGGCCAGGTAGAAACACAACTTGGGCACTCTGCAAATCACATCTTGTATAAAAGAAGAAGGGGAGAGGGAGCTTTTACTGCCTGAGGGAATCCTTTGTTAAGAGGTGATTAGCTGTCCCTAATTGTTTCTTGTCTGGAGTTTCCCTGTTTTTGAAACAATCAGGGACAGCTAATCACTTCTCAACAAAGCATTCCCTCAGGCGGTAAGTAGCCAGACCTTGAAACTGCTAGGCCATTAAATGCTAATCAAGGTGGCCAATTGAATCATTCACACCTACCTCCAACAGACAAGAGTTCTTTCTCCCAACCTGGACATTCCACAGATATAAACCCAATTTTCCTAGTTTCCAACAGACTTCACAACCTCTGAGGATGCCTACCATAGATGCAGATGAAATGTCAGGAGAGAATGCTTCTGGAACATGGCCATACATTCCAAAAACTGTGATTCCAGCAATGAAAGCCTTTGACAATACATTTTTCCTTCAGATCTTTACAGCCCCACTTGCTGGTGGGAGGGAGCTCTAGGGTGCTGCTTACCAGCAGTTCAAGACAACTGACTGGCTTTGAAGGTGGATTTCAGGGATCTACCTTGTCAGTATCAATAACATGTAAAACTACGAAGCAGTTACAATGTCTTAAGTCTAACAGGCTCCATTGCTTGGATTCAAATTCCAAGGTAAGTGGTGCAACCTAAACATTAAGAAGAAACTTTTAGTGGGAAGGGCTGTCCAACAATGGAAGATGGAGTGTGGTGGAGTCTTCATCATTGCAGGTCTTTAAACAGAAGTTGGAAGGCCATCTGTGTTGGATTGGATAGGCCTTGTGGTCATTTCCAACTCTACATTTCTATAATTCTGAGTAAAAATATGTTAGCCAATGTTTTAAAACTATTTTATTTCACAGCACTTAGGTAGTCCTGGTGGGTAGTGGAAAAATTAACCAATAGTTATCATAAACAAGTAATACATAATTCAAAACCAGCCTTAAGAATGAGAACTCCCTTTTGCATTCTCTGGAGTAAATTTTTCACACTTTTCACCAATTCTAAAGAAAGTTATTGATCTGGGCTCCCCCTCACCCTGAAACCATTTCTATCATTGATGGCACTAAGACAGGAGGAAGGAGTGGGTTTAAACTACAAAGGGAAAAGAGGCATGCATTACAAATAAGTTCAGATTTGTAAATAATGCTTGCACTGAATTGAGGAGAAAGCATTGTCTGCCTGAATGCAGAGCTAAAGTTACATTGGCTCATTAAAAATGTATCAATGCATTTTGACATCACACAGTGCTTTTTATTATAGGTTGAGAATCCCTTATCCAAAATGCTTGGGATCAGAAGTGTTCTATGCTTTAGATTTTGGAAAACTTTCATTTATATAGTAAGATATATTGGAGATGGGGCCTAAGCTGAAATATAAAATTGAAGTATGTTTCATATATACCTTATATACATACAGTAATGTTAATAATTGTGTATGTGAAACAAAGTTTGTGTACACTAAACTACTTGAAAGCAAACATGTCACTATCTCAGCCACCCACGTGGACAAATCTTTTGGATTTTGGGATTCCAGATAAAGGATACTCAACCTGTATCAATAGAACAGTCTTTAATACCAAAGAAACCAATCTTTTAGAAGAAACTTACATGACTTAATCGCACAGTTTACCACTACCAATAATATTGAAAGTCAAAATTTTTTCTTAAGATGATGATTTGTCATTTTCTTAGACCCAACAACTGCTGATATTTTAACTGATTCAACACATTGATAGATTTCTGCAGCCATAATCCAAGAAACATTTTTGGGACAATGAAAAAGAGATATTCAAAGCAAAGCAAAAACATTCTACAAGTCATTCTAGACAAATAGGTGTAGTAGTAAAATGGTAAATGGTCTACAGTACCTCTGCTAGATTCCATATTGAGGCTGGGCACTAAAATTAAAGAGGGCCAAATTTACCATCAGTCTCAAAGTCATCTATCTTTAAAACATTACTTATTGTAAGCAGATAAACAAGGATTACCAGACTTTATTCTCTCCTCTGCAGTAAAGGAGACACTCCCATTACACAAGGTAAATGCTTTGATACAACAGTTTCCATGTTGTCTCAATAAACGGGCCATTTTCCTCCCACTTGCCCAACCTTTTCCACCCCTATTTCCCTTGATATCAGTTCAGCTGCTACACTCTGCAGCAGCCACCCAAAGCCAGTGCCTTCTACATACACTGGCCCCATTATACTCAGTCACTTTGGGGATGATGGAGGGCCTAGTCCAACATATCTGAAAAATGCCAGGTTGGAGAAGGGTTGGAAGTCCTAAAACCTTTGGGACCTCTCTGTTTGTTCCTCTCTGGAAACATGTACAAGTGTGCTTGATTCTCATAGAGTGACCGTGCTAAACAATGGAATCAGTACTTTTGATGATCAGGTTCAATGGAACTCAAGAAGCAACTACAAAATATGATAGCCCTAGTTGATATCCTGTCCATCACATCCTATTTTTCCAACAGTCAAAAAGAGTAAATAATCTTGAAACCAGAATGCTACAGAGAACAGAGGATTCATTTTCCCATTACTGATGGAAGTGATGGAGGATAGATGTGCACAAGGACGAAGTGGTATGTCTGAAGACAGCAATAGCAGTGGTGGAGGAAATGTAGACATAACTACCCTCTCCTGTAAGGAAAGGTATGCAAAGTGTACGATGGAATAAATAAATTAATTGGTTTGATGTAATGACAGTGCTACAACAGCACATTGGCCAAATCAGGCAATGTATGAGGCTGGCGTTATGTATTCTAACAGCCTCATTCTGTCTGTGTGAAGTAACTCCACGCAGTGGTCATAACAAATAGAATGGTTCACAGCACAGACTATCACCATCATGTAGAGAATGATCATACTCTCAGCAGACATTGCTGGTGAATTATTTGTGACTAATGCATACAGAAAGCAGAAACAGCAATGGCATTTTGTAACGTTGAAACCAGACCTGCAAGAAAGTATGCTCAGTCTTTAAAAACCACACTGCATTTCCATCATCACCACTGAACTATGAAGGAGAGATTGATAGGTATTAGCTGTGAGCCTGATATCTGCTTGGACATCTCCATCCTATATTGCAATTGTAACTGTGGGAGTCCTAGGAATGAAATTCGCAATGTGGGAAACAACTTCAAAGGAAGGAGCATTTGGGAGAGGCAGATACGGAAATAATTTCTCTTGCCACTTGGAACCATTTTTGGTCATGAAAACTCAAAAGTAGCTATTAGCCTTACCAACACAGTTGTGTTCCTATGTAAGCAATACTTAGTTTGTTTCTGTTTATACACATTTTAATGAGGGAAAAATTAAACTCTCTTAATAACATTTGATGGCCTAGAGTAGTTGTTCTCAACCTGTGGGTCCCCAGATGTTTTGATCTTCAACTCCCAGAAATCCTAACAACTGGTAAACTGGAAGGGATTTCTGGAAGTTGTAGGCCAAAATACATGGGGACCTACAGGTTGAGAACCACTGGCCTAGAGCTTAGTGGTACAGCACATGCTTTGTTTGTGAAAGGTCTCAGATTTGATTGGGGGAATCTCATGTAGGACTGGAAAGACCCTTGTTTTAAACTCTGGAGAGATGTCATGGAAAGTACTGGTTCAGAGGAACCAATTGTCTGACTTGCTCCATCAAATGGTTTCAGGTAGTAGCTGGAATTTTCTATCATGGTGTAACTTCAAGAATACTTAGCTATGTAGAAGAGGTACTAAGAGACCTTGGCCCATGAAATTCACTGAGATCATTCTCCATTACTTTGACTCTTACTGACCTATGGATAAGCCACATGACTGGCTCAAACAAGCTTGTATAGACAGAATTTGACTATTCCTCCTCCAGGGTGAACACAAAGACCTGTATCTGCTGAAAATTATTTCACATTGTTTTCCTTTCTTTCAAACTTCTGCTGACTTGTTAATTTCTGTGCAAACACTATAGATGCCACCATCTAAAATGGTAAGAGGACCTGGGTTAGAGAAGAATTTTAGGCTTACAAGCATGGGGCACTTTTGAAACACTGGATGCTTTCCAGAACCTCCAAAATAGGTTGTAAATGTAAATAGTGAGAATGTGAAGCACTCATTTCAGATAAAGATTGCAGCCTGACAGCTTTATGGACATTAATAACAATTATGGTTATGCACATTGAAATAAGATTAATCAAATCTCAGCCTTTCAAGAATAAATTGCAAGAATTAAGAAGGCAAGAACTTCCACTTTAAAAGTCTCTGTATTGTTTTTAAAAGCAAGGGAAAACAACTTGGTGCCTTCCAAATTTATTTGACTACAACTCCCATAAACCCTATCAATTTTCATGTTAATTGAGTTTTATGGCAGCGGTAGTCCAAAATACTTCATCTCTGCTCCTTGGGAGTAGATTTTTGGATCTATCCACTCAAATGATAGTAGCTACTCACATGATCTTGGAATTAAGTGATCTTCTGTTGTAGAAGAAATAGGAACTATTTATGCAAAATATCTATGGGGTCATAGTTTTGCAGCCCAGTCTTAAAGGCATACACAGATAGGATTGAAAAGCTCTGCTTAACAATCTGAAATGATAAAAAATATAGTTTTCAGTGCATCCAGAACCAGTTCAGAAGCATGTGCTGCATGAATTCAGAACTAGCTCACCTCTCCTTGTTTGTATATTTATTTACCAAACGTGTGCATCCACCAATCAATTTCCAAATGATGTTCTGCTTGCTGCCAGATGTGACATCTTCGATCTACAGCCACAGAAGTCTGTATGGTTTCTGGGCTTTCATGTTTAACCCAATATGCTCCCTATATCTATTTCTGTGTTCAATCAAAAATTTGATCTTAGCTCTGCAGAGAGGAGGACCCAGAGTAATAACTGTCATCTGACCAAGGCCCTGCGTGGCTACACTTCATCAGTTTGTGGCTCATTGTGTGATTGCAATCTAAGGATGAATCAACACATGCAGCCAAATCCCATCATTTGTCAATGGCTCACTGTGTCAGGGACTTGTTCGTGACTTGAAACAACAGATGCCCAACCAGTGAATAAACCCAAAATGGTGTTTGCTTTTCTTGTATAGGGAAGACTAAACTCTTCCAGGAGTGAAAGCACTTGACTTGCCATTAGCTACATTGAATGTTTAACTAATTGCTGAGATACCTGCACTCATCAGTTTCCAGCTTGCAAAGTTAATCCTATTGATCCCATTAAGATAGAAAATCAAAATGTTTAATTTGTCTGGCTGTACTCTGGCTATGATATGGTTTGTACTACAAGTGTAGAAACTGAAGGCCAAGGTCCTATATCATAGCCTATGCTTTTGAACTTTATGAATCCATAGCTATCTTGCAGAAATACAACGAGACCCTATTACTGAATTGTGAAGATATGCATATACAATGTACACCAGGTGCTTCTGATGCACATTGGGCATTTCCAATGTGCATGAAGAACTTATCACAGACATTGGGCATCTTTCATGCACGCCAGTTATTTCGGCTATGTTCTAGAATTCCTAAACAAGGTCTGAATGCACATCAGGGAGTGCCCAAATGAGCACCAGGGCCCACTTCATAAGCTAACTTAACACATTGAAGCCCTTATGTGGAAACATGCATGTCCAGATTGCAGCATGCTGATACATTCAGCTTCACTTCTCTAGGCTATTGGAGTCTGCTGGGACTAGGCAGATTCTGGACCAGTGTCTAGATCAGGCATGGGCAAACTATGGCATTCCAGTTGTTTTGGACTTTAACTCCCAGAAATCCCAGCCAGCTAACCAGCTATTAGGAATGGTGAAAGATGAAGTCCAAAAACACTTGGAGGGCTGAAGTTTGTGCATGCCTGGTCTAGATTATGCAATGTCCTGGGTGAAATTCAACCCCAATAGAACAATGTCCTCTCTGTGGATTGGTGGTTACCAGATCTAGGAAATGGGTAAAACACTAAACAGCCTCTTCTGGACAGGCATACATTCCCCTTGAAAGAGCAAGTATGCAGCTTGGGCATATTCCTAGGTCTATCCCTATCACTGGAAGCCCAAGTGGACTCTTGTGTTTGGTTCTGTGACTAGTGTGATAGCTGTAACCTTTCCTGGACAGAGATAATTAGCCAAAATAGTCCATGCACTGGTAATCTCCCAACTAGACAATGAGTGGCTGCCTTTGAAAATTTAATTATTTGCAGATTTTATTAATATGGTATTCTTAGGCATCTGTAGGTCCTCCAGCGTGATTCTATCAACAATGTCCTCTGTGACATAGAGTTGTGCTGAAGGACCTAGATATGCCTACTTTTTGATTTAAAATAGTTTTACTCATTTTTCTCTTTTCACAGGGATTCTGCACACATGAGCCCTGCAAAAGTGAAGGGTCTCCTGTATATCTTGCTTTGAACATCTCTTTGAACCCCATGATCACCCTCAAAGGCAAGAAGCTCTTAATTGCATCAAGACATTGATCTTTGACACATTCCTTGATCAAATTTAGAAGAGATTGGCAGGAGAGAGTACAGCAAAAACAAAAAGCTCATCCTGGTCTGCCTCTAGGAAACTTCTTTTCAGTCCAGCCTTGTGAGCAAGTCCCATTGTTGGAGAGTTCTGTCTGATTGTATTCTGATTTCCCCTAAGCTTGTTAACTACTCTTGCCTACCTATTGTTCAAGAGGCAAGTACAACTTGAACATCAATTAATTAGTCTGTTTTATTTCTGGTTAAGACCTTGGCCCACTGCCTGGACCACAAGCACCATACCTGCTGTGTTGCTTCACTCGCTTCCTTTTTTCATCTTTGCAACATGGCTTTAGGCTATCTGAAAGACCATACTGTCCTATTATGTGTCAAACTGAGTATTTTGATTTTCAGGGATGGGCTTTCTATAAGTCCCACTATCTTTGCAGGCATGGCT